TATATATCTCCAGAAATTTATCCATTTCTTAAAAGTTTTATTTATTTATTTACTTATTTATTTTGTTGGCACCAGGGATCAAACTCAGGAACTCACACTTGCGAAGTAGGCAGCCGAACCACTGAGCTAAATCCCGGGCCCATAAGTTTTCTAATACATCAGTGTATAGTTGTTCCTAGTAGTCTCTTATGATTCTTTGTATTTCTTTGGCATGAATTATAGTGTTTCCTTTTTTCATTTCTGATTTTATTTTGGGATGGATCTTCTTTCTTTTTTCTGGATAATTAGGTAATATTTAATTTTTATTTTTAAAAAAACTCTGCTTCATTGACCTTTTGTATTTTTACACATCCCTTTATTTCTGCTCTCCTCTTGGTTATTTATTTCCTTCTACAAATTTTCTGTCTGGGTTTTGACTTTCTAGTTCCTTGACTTGCATCATTTGGTTGTTTATTTGAAAACAATGTTATAGATAAAGGTACTTCTTGCTATAAACCTCTTTTCTGGGGAGTACTTTTTCTGAATCCCATAGGTTTTAGTATAGTGTTTTCCTTTGTTTCAAAAATTTATATTTCCATTTTGATTTCTTCATTGACCTATTGATTGTCTAAGACAATGATGTTTCATTTCCATTTATGTGTGTTATATCAAAAATTCCTTTTGTTGATTTTTTTCCCATTACTCTGATTTCAACTTTTTAAAAAATTCATTGAAGCTTATTTTGTGTCCCAACTATATGGTCTGTCTGGAGAATGTTCATTGCTGATATGAAGAATGTATATATCATATGAAACTTTATGAAAATATGTTAGGACCTTTGTGTTGATAGTGGAGTTTAACCAATAATTTTTTGTCTGGATGACCTATCCATGGTGAAAGTGGGGAGTTGAAGATCCCAACTATTATAATTCTGTTAGATTTTCTCTTCTTTTAAAGGTAATAATTTTTGCACTGGATAGTTGCTCCAGCATTGGGTACATATATGTTTACAGTGGTACCTCCATTCATGAAGCTAATTCTTTCCATGATTCTAGTTGCAAAGTGAGTTGGACTAGAACTGAATCAGACTTCCCCATGAGGTCAACATTAAACCTAACCAATGAAATTGATTTTATTCTGATCAAATTTGGTTTGCGACCAGAATTGTGGAAAGAATTAAGTTTGTAAATCAAGGCATCACTTACAACTGTTATTTTCTCTTATTGAATTGACCCTTTCATTATTATATAAGAGCCTTCTTAGTTTCCTTTCACATTATTATTTGATATAAGTATAGGTACTTATGCTCACTTTTGGTTTTGGTTTGCATGGTACATCTTTTTCTATTCCTTTATTTTATTACTGTGTGCCTTAGTGGATGAAGTGAGATTTTTGTAGGGACATACTATTGAGTTTTACTTTTAGCCTATATCTTTTAATTGGGGAATTAAATCTTTTTATATTCAAACTTATTGATAAGTAAAGACATATTCCTATAATTTTATTTTATTTTTCTGGTTGTTTTGTATATCCTGAGCATCTAGGAATAGCTACCCATTCCTTAGGCCTAAGGAGTACACTGTAGAGAGATGCTGTAGAGTGTCTTTCAGCTCTTCCTGGGATTCCTGGGGTTCTTCAGGACAGAGTGCCCAGCTACTTCCTGGGATCGAGACTGTGTGGGTAGGTTTACATGGCTGTTTCCAGGGCAGCAGGAATATGGGTATGCTATTAAAATGAAAGCCCTGGTGAGCCCACCAACCCACAGTGGGCTTCCCAGGTAAATCTCAGAGCAATGGAGGGTGGGTTGTGCAATGTGGTTGGTTTGCAGGGGTGAGCTAGCTGAGCTTTTGGTCTGTTTTATAGGACCCCAGGTAGGCGGAGCCTCCGGTTAGTGCTGGACAGCAGGATTTTGACATGGCCTGCACTCTTTCTCTGGAGCAGTACGGTGGTAAGCTAATGAAGCTCATTAGCTTCACAGGGCCTGTGTGGGCTTCTTCAGCAGCAAGCACTCCAGGTGTCTGTAGTATGAGTGGGAACTTTGAGGGCCTCCTGCTTACGCTTTTTCTGCTAAACTCCCTCTTGGTTCAGGGTTCATCTTTCCTGTCAGGACAGTAGATGCTGTCCACTTAGTTTTCTTATTTATAAGGCCATTCATTGTACATCTCTGTAATAGCTTTGCTACATTCTCACTGCACTGTAGCACTCTGCCTCAAGCACTCCAGTGACATAGCTGTTGTTCTTTATTCTGGGCCTTTTTTTGGATGAAAGCACAGCAGACACCTTTACCCAACCAGCTTTTCTCCATTTGCTGAATTCTTACAGCAGTAATTCCCAAATAACTTTTATGATACCCTTCTTGTGTTAATTTCATGATACCCCTACTGCTTCTAGCTACCCTTCTGTCTTATTCCATAGTGATTTTGTATATAATATATGCCTTTTATTTCAGTAAGCACTGAAAACAGATTTGTAATGATATGAAATCACTGAAAAGAATGTACTGAGATTTAATATTCTAAAGTAAACCTTCTTGACCTAGTAGTTCACACAGTGTTCAGTAGATGTCACTGTTTTTTTAAAAATTTTTAAATGTATAATCCTGTGTTTGCTCTATTATTTGGGGACACCTTTGCACACAATTTGGGAACCAAACATCTGAGGCTATTTCTTTGTTTCTTGGGTTTTTGGATTGATATAAAAATATTTTTTATTTCACATCTTTTTTATGGTACATATTGGTTGTTCAGATTAATGGTTTTCATTTTAACAGATTTGTACATGCATATAACATACTTTGGTAATTTTTCCTTTCCATTATCCTCTTGTCCCAACATATTTTATGACTTTAAATGTGTATAATATAGTTTATAGCTGTCCCCCCATTACCTGCCCTTACATCTGATCCCCCTCCCCTACTCTCCTTCTTCTTGTCTAATAGTAGTCTCTGTTCTACTTTCTTGTCATATTATTTAGATGACACATCTTTAGGAGAACATGTAATATTTGCCTTTCTGAGTCTGGTTTACTTTGCACTATATGATGATCTCTAGATCCTTTCATTGTCCTTTAAATGACAAAATGTTATTTTCTTTATGGCTGGCTAGTACTCCATTGTAAGTATATACAACATTCTCTTTATCTATTCATGGGTGTTGGGCACCAAGGCTGGTTCTATATCTTAGCTATTGTTATTTGTGTCACAATATACAAGTATATTGCAGGTATCCCTATGGTATGCTGACTTTAATTTCTTCAGGTATATATCAAGGATGAGGCTTTTTTTTTTTTGAGACAGGTTCTCCCTATGTAGTTCAGGCTGGCCTTGAATCATGATGTATCCCAGGCTGGCCTCAGACTCATGTTGATCCTCCTGCCTTAGTCTCCAAAGTGCTGGGATTACAGATGTGTACCACTACACTCAGCAAGGCCATTTTAAAGCATTATTTTCTCCATGTGTTTTTATGTGCATGTGCACATATAATATTTAAAATATTGTTTATAAATCACAAGAAATAATCCATTGTTTTTTGTAAATGTCATAAGGTATACATAACATAAAATGAAAAAGGTTTTAAGTAAGGTAGATAGATTTTATCATCAAGATAATGGGTGAATGACTGAAGGCATTTGAGAGATCTTTGAGTCTGCCCCTCAAAGAGGGATACTTTCCTAGTAACAAAGTCACAACACCCAACACCCACGGGTTTTGTAGAGGTTTTGGCCCATAGTTTGCTCGCTCCAAGGCAGGATAGCATGGCAGAGGGGCATCGCAGAAGAAAAGATATTCATGTCATGCTAGCCCTGAAGCAGAGACAACAAAGAGTCAGGGACCTGCCTCTTCTGACCTGGTCTTACCTCCTAATAGCAAGTCAGCTGTAAACCCCTGTAGTTCAGTCATCTTTCAAAGTTCCCACCTTTGAAGGACTTTGGGAAGTCCTGAAGCTTTGGGAAGACATCTCGATATAAACTGTAACACACTGCCATCATAGGTCCAGGGCTGTAGAAGTACAGAATGGTTTTGGGGAAGAGTACCCTCCAGAAGATTGCTACCCAGAGGTGCCTTGGAACTCTGCTCCCTGTATTCTGGACAGTTCCTCTCAGTTGTCTTAGTCATAGCACAAGTGGATGCAGGTACTTCTTGGGGCATAAAGAACATAAAGGACATAAAGGGTAAACCTTGAGTGCCCTCATGGTTTTACCTCAAGTCCTGCAGGTACAAGAACTGTGGAAGTATGGTTTCTTTCAGCTAGATTTTAGTTGTTGCAAACAGCCTACACACCCAGACAGAGATTGGTTGCAGGGAAGGAGTGTCTGTAAAGAACCCCTGATATAAAGGAAATATAACTCTCAACCTGCTAGATGTCAGATGTGTTGAATTCCTGTCCCGTGAAATTGAAGAATGAATTGCAAAGAACAAGAAGTTTAAAAGTAGGAAAGGTTTATTGAGAGATAACTCCTGAGAGACAGAAGAGGTCCTGGAAGTGGAATGCCGCCTTTGTCAGGGTTAATTTATATAGCAAGGTCACAATATGGGTACAACATAGGTCAAACTATGATCAACTGGTAGAATTATAAGTACAACTACTGAGCTAATATTGGTTCAATAGGGAAGCAGTTCACAGAGTAAGGGTACATGGAAAGAACAAAGGCATTTTGAGGGAGGGATGGGTCCAGATGCTCTGGTCACTCACCTGGGCAACTGATGCCTATCTTGACTTCCTGGACCGGGTGGTGCTAATTGCAGTATAATTCCAAGTTAGTCCCTTAGGGAGGCATGTAGGTCTGGCCATTGCATTTTTATTTTGAATCCTGGTCATCAGGTGTGCCTCCAGCCATAATTCTGATGTCTTTATTTTTTCTGCTGATTTCCTCAAGAGCCTTCTGACTGTATGTTAATCTCTGTCTAACTCCGCTGTCTGTAATGGCCCTATCAGGGCAATGCTTAATGGAAATGTGGTCTTGGAGGCTGAGCCTCCGCAGAGTCCCTGCCAGAGCAATGCCTAGTGGAGCCATGTGAAAAAGGCCAATGCAAGGAGTCACTGTGCACCTATGCAGAGTGGTAATGAAGATGTGGGACTCTCTGATATTGCTGATAGGTATGTGAAATAAAGCATTGTGGCAGTTTCTTGTGAAGTTAGTATGATCAAGCAATTCCTCCCTGGATATTTATCAAAGAGAATTGGAAACATTTGCCTGTAAAACAGCTTGTATCTTCACACTCATTACTGCTTCATTCATAATGGCTCACAACTGGAAATAATCCAAATGTTTATTAACAAATATATAAGAAAATTGCAATATATTTACAAAATAGAATAGAATACAACTGAGCAATAAGAAGAAACTACTCTTTTACAAAGAGCGTGAATGAATCTCAAAGACTGCATGCTGAAAGAATTCCAATACAGAAGAGTATTGTCAAGGGCCACTGAGCTAGAGAGCTACTCTGCCAGGTGTCAGGGTAACCAATTAAAATGATAATCTAAAATGAGTTAGCATTCAAGACTTACTACGATAGTAAAAACAAAAGGCTAAGCCTCACAAACCTGCAATTCCATTGCTTCCTTGGAGCAGTGCATCTGGTTGAACGGTGGATCGCCTCATCTCCTTGTTGAGGGAGCATCAAAGCAAAACAAGGCTGAGGAGGGAAAAGGGGAGGAGGGCCAAAAGTAGAAGAGTGCTGCCTACTAAGTCAGCCTGGAGAGAAGCATCTTCAAGTTACCCCCAACCCTGGCGCCTATCCCTCCACCCTACTCCAAGATTAAAGAGGTTTGGGAAGAGATTTCTGAGGAATTTAGCCCAGGCTCTAGATAAAGAGGACTTCAAATAAAAGTGCCTCAGCTAGGAATGCAGCTGTGCGTAATGGCATGGTTGACCAGGATGTCTGAGTCCTTGGCTACAACTGTCTTCTTAGAGACACCATAGTTTGGGTAGGCAGAGTTTGCTATGGAAAAGGCAACTTCCTCCTATGTGTCCTGCAAGGTAGAATCTCTGTAACTGCCTGTGATTCAGCTTTAGAAGTCACAAGTAGGTCTTTTGGTCAGGAGCTGCTCAGGTGTGTACTACATGAATCCCTTTATACAGAACTCTTATAAGTAAACTAATTTCTCTAGTAAAAGAATACAGATTAGTGATTCTCTCAGATTGGGAGTGGATTTATTGTAAAGAGGCATGAAGGAAACTTTTTAATGGGAGTGTTTCTTATACCATTATAAACAGTTTTCAAAGTTCATAAAATGTACAACAAAATGAATGTTTTTACATAATGTAAGTTATATCTCACAGTTAATTATAAAAGTAAATAAAAATTGATTTAGTTGAATCCTTAGTAGTAAAAATACTAATGTATTTAGTCCAACTCAATTTTTAATTATAACTGTGTGAACAGGATTGCAGTATGAAAGTAGAATGTGAAACTTCATGGTTAGGTTATGTGGTGCAAATGTTTTTATCCAAACAACAAAGTGACAAAGGGACACTGGGAAGAATCATGATTGCTATCTAAAACTTGTTTTATTGAACTGATATTCTGTTCATATTCAATTCACAGTACATTTTTGTGTTTACAGTTTAGTGACATTAAGTACATTCATATTGTTGTGCAGCTATCATCATTGTGCATCTGTACAATGTTTTATTTGTCCATTTCTTTTTTTTTAGCAATGTTGTCATTTTTATTTACGATGTATTTTTTATCACACTGGGAAGTTGATAAAGACAATATGTTCCTTTATAAAAAAAATGAAGATTTTGTATTGAGTGGCCTGTATAATCTTACAGTTTACCTTCTTCCCTTCCCTTCCCTCCCTCTCCCTTCCCCCTCTCTCCCTCCCTCTCTCCCTCCTCCTTCTCTCCCTCCCCCCCCCATTTTGCTATGTAGTTCATTCTGGCCTTGAACTCATTAGGTGGCCCAGACTGGCCTTACATTCCTGGCGATCTTCCTGCTTC